TGATGCTATCTCCAAAATGCCGAAATATGCTAAATTTTTAAAGGAGATTTTGACCAATAAGAGAAAGTTGAGAGCACATAAGACTATAAAGCTCACTCAAGAGTGCTCAGCTATAGTCCTTAAAAAACTTTCACCTAAGCTTAAGGACCCAGGGAATTTTACTATTCCTTACATAATTGGAAAAACTCATATTAATGAGGCTTTATGTGATTTAGGAGCAAGTATTAATCTTATGCCTTGTTCTATTTTTAGGAAGCTTGGAATGCATAAATCTAAGCCGACCTCCATGTCACTTTAGCTAACAGATAGGTCGATCACATACCCTAAAGGCATAATGGATAATGTACTTGTAAAAGTTAGAAAATTTATATTTCCTGCTGACTTTGTAGTACTTGACATGGAGGAAAATGATGATGTCCCCATCATACTAAGGAGACCGTTCTTGACCACTGCAAGAGCCATCATAGACGTATAAGAAGGGAAGCTCACACTGAGGCTAAATGATGAGGAAGTTGTATTCCAAGTTTTCAAATTTTTCAAGTACCCTTCTAGCCAAGAGTCATGTCATTTTGTAAGCACTGTGGATGTTGCTTCTCCTCCTCCAATTTATGTGAAGCATGGAACCACAAGAAGAAGGCTAAGGAGGAAGCAATATAAGAAGAAGAAAAGACAAAAGCTTAAATCATCCATTAATAAGCCTTCTAATTTAGAGCTTAAATTTTCTTCTTTTTATTCTAATCCCCATCTTATAAATACTTTTTCTGATGTAATAGGTGTTGGGGAGGCAAAGTTGTTGGGGAGACAACTATATATCAAGGGAGTCACTTCTGAGACTTATGTCTTCTTTCAACCATGATTTAACAGGAATGTCAGGTTTGTGACGTTAAATAAGCGCTCCCAAGGACAACTTGTGTCTTTTATTTTCTTTAAATTTTATTTCTTCTTGTTTATTTTAATTTTTTTATTGTTATTTTATTTTTAGAATAAAGAATAAGTATATTGAAAGATTGCAAGAACTAAGTTGATTATTCTCGTACACACTTTTGAGCTCTAATCTGAAAGCATGCCTGTGCTCATCCCATACACGGTCATGCATTTAGTCGCAGTTGTGAGAGAAGCTTTATATCATACGCATTAGCGTGCTTAAGATTTTAGCATGGCCATGCTCCCTCACCCAAAGCCATTGCGCTAATAATTATCAAGAAATCTCTTTCCTTTATTCAATTGCCCTCTTTGCATGCTTTTAATTTGATTGCTTTCAAATATTGAGGATAATGTTTTGTTTTAAGTATGGGGAGTAGTTCCTAATTATATGATTGTTATTGCATATTCTTGAGTAAAGTGTCTATGCTATTTTTTTATGATAATTTAAAATTTTCCCCTCATGGAACCCAATTTTTTCAGATAGAAGAGCATGTTAAGTGACTATTATTGGCATTATACTTTCATTTAAAAACTAATAATTAGCTAATGTCCTTACTTTTATGCTCTACATTAAAATTTAACCCACAGATATGAGTTTTGAGCCTTAAAGGGGATTTTTATCTTAATTTAATTAATTGTATCCCTTTTCTCATTATTTTGTGTGATTATCTCCTTAGGATTTGTGCTTTAGAACTTGACTTAGAACCGACTTAAGACTTCTCTTTTTAATTGCATGTTTTAATGTGATTGAGGCATAATAGGATTTTTATTCTTGGCTTTCTGCATGTTTGAGATACAACTAGTTGTCCACTTTGAGCTTTATTGATTTTCTTAGTCCCTTGCGTTAAATTTATAGAATGTTTTGATGACCTTGAGCTTACAAATGAAGCAATTGAGTTATTGAACTGTTTGATAAATTCTCCTCTATATATCTCAAATGCAAAAAGAAAAAAAATTAAGTATAAAAAACATAGCAAAAAGAAAAGAAAAATGGTTATATATGAATGAAAGAAGAGAGGAATAAAGATATTGATTATATGTAAAATATAAAAATTATTCTAAGAACTTCATTTGTAAACTTAGGAGATGTTCATAATTTTTATAATTTATTACCCTTTGTGTATCTCCTTCATTTCATTTATCTCACCTCAATTATTATGATTCTTTGGCCACATTATAACTTGAAAAAGATCTCATAATTTTTACTTGCATTTAATTTATTTAGTGGAGAGTCAGTTTATAGTCAAGCCTATGGTAATACACTTTTCTTTAGGAGAATTGAGTGATATCTCATTTTGTCCCTTAGTAAGAGAGGAAAGTAGAGTACCTTAGTCTGATGTTTGAATGAAAAGTATGAAAATATAAGATTCTAATTGGGAATCCTTTTAATTGCTTATGCTCAGTGATATTACTCTTGTTGCTCTTTTTATCTCTGTTGTCTCGGCTTTCTTATGTGGTATTTTGTTTCAAGTTATTTTGATATTCTCTTAACCAGCACTTTGCTAGAGGACAAGCAAACAGATAAGTATGAGAGAATTGATAAGTCTGTAATTAGACTCTATTTTACAGCCCATATATTCATATTTGACATTTATTTTATTTGGAGTTTACACTAATTTATATATTAATTATGTAGTTTGGTTTAAAGATGCTGCAAGTAGACTATGGATGCGTTTTAGGCCCAAATTGATGAATTATTATAGTTTCACAGCAGTCAGCACGTCCAGATCCTTTCAACAAGTATGGGGGTACTTCGAGCCCTGAGGCATCCTGCAAGGACACTGTTTTTGACATCATGTTACACCTTGGCTTTTTCTCTTTTACCTCATCTCTCTTCTAGGGGAATCTTTGGCATATTTTTGGCGAGGCTTCTAACTTCGAGCGACCGTACTTGAAGATTAAGAACTCATCTCATTCTAATTTATTTTTTTTATAGCTTTGTTTATGATTATTTTAGTTCTTTTCTTTAGCATGAGTAACTAAGTCCATAGCTAGGACTATGAGAACTATCGTTTATGAATTTATAAAATTTTGATGTTTGAATCTAAATTTGATTTTCGTTTTGTAATTAGATTTTATCCTATTGTGCTTCTTTCTTAATCCTAAATTAATTATATCGTTAGACGACTGTACCTTTGTTAATTAATAAATTTATAGGATAAAACGAGACAAAGGATTAGGTGGACCAAACTAATCTTTCTCTTCTAATCATTATTAAATTAACAAGTTCATAGGCTCCTTAAGCTTTCTTAAATTGATGTCTTGCATGACCATTGGGTATTAACAGTATTCGTATGAATGATTGATAATTATAAGAAAATTAGATTTATAGTTAAACAGAAAAATAACATAAAGAATTGAATGAGAAAACTCATATGCCTTAGGTTCCTCTCCGATAAATTTAACCAAGATGTGTATTGTATTCCTTACTCTTAGTTTTATAATTAATTTTATAAATTCTTATTTTAATTAATCTTATATCTTTAAAGTTTAAACAATTAAATTAGGAAATTTTTTGTAATTGAAAATTAATTTTTGTGAGACAATATTTCAGGAACTTAATTTAAAAATTCTTTATTACTTCTCGATGATACACTTGTCCTCCGAACTAATTTATCGATTTAAAACTAATTTTCATTACAACTATAATCACTATTACTTGTCAATTTCTTGATTGTTGTGTTTACAACTATAACCACTATTACTTATTGATTTCTTGATTATCTGATCTACAACTGTAACCACTATTACTTATTGATTTCTTAATTGTTAGATCTACAACAGTAACTACTATTACCAACTAATTTCTTGTAAAACTAATTTTAATTATAACTGCTATTATTTGTCAATTTCTTAGTTGTCGATTTTAATTAGTTGTAAAATTAACTTTAGTTACAACTATAACTACAATTACTTATTAATTTCTTAATTGTTAAATTTAATTATTGTAAAACTAGCTTTAGTTACAAATGTAACCACTATTAATTGTCTATTTAGATTTAATTTATTGTTTGTTGTAAAATTAACTTCAGTCACATCTGTAACCGATATTATTTGTCGTCCACGATTTTTCTATGAATTTCTTGTTTGTCAAGTTTAATTTATTGTAAAACTAACTTTAGTTACAACTGTATAAAACACATTATTTTAACAACTGTTACTTGTCATCCACAATCTTTATGATCTTCAGAATTTTCAGATTATTAATGATTTCAGCTAATAATAACTGTTTTAAATATATTTAAATTTTTTAACATAAATCTATCATCTTTTGGACTATACGTTACTTGAACATAAACACCTAAATTTTAGCATTTGCACTGAAAAACTTGTCAAATCCTCTCAAAATGCTTTTTTTTTAATTAAAATTCAGGTTTCTTTAAACATCTTTGTAATAAATTTATTAAAAAATAAATTATCCCTTTCCAATTGTTTTGAATTCTTGATTTCACCCAAAAAATGATAGAGTCTTATGATACTTCAATTATATAAATAACAATCTTGTCAAAAAGAAGTATTAAACTTTTTTTTATATTTTTAAAAGAAAATAGATAAAACAACATGATAGTTTTTGATTAAATAAAAATGGAAAGAGATTTTCTTAAAAACTTATTTAATTTAAAATCTTAAATAAGAGAATAAAAGGATTGAAAATCCGTCTTCTTTTTCAAATTAAACTTTAATATATTTTAAATCAAGCGAACAAAGTTACCCTTAATATATTTTAAGGATATAATATATTAATTTTTATTTTCTCACTTTATGGGCTTATTTTTTCGTGTATACATATTTAACCCACAAATATATATATATATATATATATAGAGGTCAAGTACATAAATCTCAACTGTTAATAATAATAAACGTGAATTTCTTAAATGACTTGTAATTATAATCTACCTCTAATGTGGAGATTTGCGCTAGTCGAACGAAAAATCGATCGGAATGATACTGGACATATTCTTTTTATTCTTTACTTCCCATACTTAAAACTTGATTATGATTTAAGAGCATTATCAATATGCAAGTTGGGAGTGTAAATAGTAAAAAGTAACCACGAATGGGATCAACTTGTAGCAAACTTTGGAATAAAAATTAATTAAAATCAAAATCAAACAGGAAAAAAAATGTTCGGATAAATATGGGTCTAGCACATGTGCTTTTTGGTCCACAAGGCATGCGTCCTCAATTCTCAGAGCTTTCTCAAACTATTTATAAATATATACAAACCCAACACTTTAGCCTTTCTTAAGGTTTAATATTTCGCAAGAGATTCCCTTTGAGGAGGAAGAAACAAAATCCACATAACCCAAATGACACACATAAGCGACAGAAGTAAACTCTTTACAAGAAAAAAAAAAAAATAGCAGATATTATTATATATCTCCGGAGGTTGGTTTTGGCTTCTTCACAATCAAAACGGGGCACTTGACGTTCTGTGCACAGTAATTGCTCACACTTCCAAGGAAAGCCCTGCGATTCAACATCCAAAAGCCCATTCACAATATACAATTCACATACGCTTGATTTAATTAGAAGGGTAATCCTAAGTGTGGCCACTCACCTCTTGATGAGACCATAGCCATGGCTTCCCATCACTAAGACATCAACACCCAACTTTTGAGCCATCTGACAGATCACGTCCCTCGGGTCGCCATGCTCTACCCTCGTCTCCACCTAAACCACCACACCAACCATTGATGATAAGAACATACAAGTTACTAAAGATTCCAACTTTAAATAAGTAACATATGCGTACGTTTTCGATGTTGTCACACAATTTCTTCGCTTTCTCTAAGACGCAATCAGCCACTTGTTGGCTGTACCTCTCCATGGTTGCCGTTATGTCAGAGGAAAACAAATAACCTGAAAAGGAAACACGCCCCATAAATTAATCACAATAATAAACGACAACAAGCCATGTCGTTTATGGGTTAGTCCTGTCTACGGTACCAGTGCCATCGAAGGCGGAATAAACGGCACGAGGAGGCTTGACGTAGAGGAGGATAAGCGTGTCCTTGGAATTTTGGAAAACAAGGTTCTTCAGAGACCATGAAAGAGCGTACATGCTCTCCTCGCCTTCGTCCACCGCCACCAGAACCCGGCGTTCGCTTTCTGCCATCTCAGCCATTTGCTTTCAGATCAGAACAAAGGTTCAGCAAACTAAAACCCACAACTCGGAACTCTGGGTAAACTGTAAACTAAAGCTGCTTCAAATCGGATGAGTAAATCGTACGTGTCTATTTATATATATATTTTTTGCTTTTGCCACGTGTCCTTATCGCGAGTTGACGTGGACGCTTGATATTTAGCATCCGATATTTTCCCGAATGGATAATGGGTTGTTTCTAGAATCTGTTGGCGGTTTCTGGGTTTGGGCTTCTGGTTTGTGGTATTTCAACACAGTGGGCTTTGAAGGTTAATATTTCAGATGCTGCCGTTGAATAAGGACACTGCAGATATCTACCGTATCTCTGGTTCCGCGTAATCCGAGTTGCCAGTTTCAGCCACCATTCCATAGTTTCTTCTGCTTTTACGAACAAGCCCACGGAAATCTTCCCTCAATACATAATACTGCTACTATATCAGATCTTAAGCAAAATGTCTGTTGCTATTCTCAGGTGTTTATTGTTAAATTTTAATTATATATATATATATAAAATTAAAATTTAATTTAATAAAAATTATATCGATATTATACTTTGACTGATTGATAATATAAAATTTTTATATTAATAATACATAAAAAATATTTTTAATTTTAACTTTTTTTTGCAAATGTTTATATATTATGATGTCATGTAAATACATATTAATTTAAGCCTAAAATTTTTAGAATTTACGGTTAATTTATAAGAATATCTGCAACTAAGTATTTTACAGTTACATTAGAAAAACATCTACATTAGCTGGCAAAATACTGTTCTAAATTAGGGATTTCAAACTCAAATCTTTCGTAATGTAACGGCATCAGAAATTTATGGTTAATTTATTATCTTTATTGATATCACTTAACTTATTAAAATGTGTAATGTAACTAATAAAAAAGGAGAATTAACCTAAAAATACATTAAACATAATTAATTTTTGTGTGGATAATATGGGCTTGTTTTTTATTTGTTTTGTTTTTTCTGAATGGGAATTGGTTTGGCATAAGCCTAGCATAAGAATGAAAGCTTTTGATATGGGGGTCAGCACATTGGGGAAAGAGGGTAGAATGCCAAGGTTTGACTTGGAATAGGTGAACTTGCACTTGTAGCTGTAATCAAGGACTAAGCCTTTTTATTTACAACACAGATATTACATATGTTGCCATTTGGGCCTCTTGCCATTTGGGCCTCACCAACTCCACCACAGCCAGGCCCAATGTAAATTTGTCAGACTCTAATGTCCGCCCCATGGGGGTGTTCATGGGCACTATTGTTAAGAAAATGGGTTACGGAGATGGTTTCAAATGCTTCTCTTTACATCACATAGTGGGAGAAAGAGATGGCTAATATATATATATATATAAAATAAATTCAAATTATTTAATTTTTAAATTAACAAATTATTTTTAAGTATATTAAATTTAAATAAGATGATATCAATATTATTAATAAATTTTATTTTATCATATGATTATTATAATTATTAAAGTAAATATCGTTATTTTATCACAAAGTGAAAAAGAATCTATGTTAATAATATAAATATAATAAATATATTTTAAATGAATTATGATTTTTTAATATTAGAAATTAAATAAATTTGACCTATGATGTAAAAATGAATGTTTTATTAATAAATTTTGTTTGATATATTTCTACAACAGATTAGTTTATCACATAAACATATAATATATTTATTAAACAAAATTGATGGTTATCTAATGTAAATTTATATATATTATTATCATTGTAAACATAGTTATTTTTTCATTTTTTAAAAAAGAAGTTAATTTAATAATATAAATATATTAATTAATTTTTTTATTCAAATAAAATACATTTTAATCTTATTTAAATATACTATTATTTTACAATAATATAAATAAGATAAATTTGATATAAGATTTAATTATAGTGAATGAATTTTTGTTAAATTTTATTCTTTGACAATTAGTTAGTATAAAAAATTATTATGATTATTAAGGTAAATTTTGTTGTTTTTTTAGTTTTTATGTAAAAAAATAATTTAATAAGATAAATATACTTATTATTTGTTTAATAAGATAATTTAGATAGCACATAGGTATTTCAATATATAACTGTTTAATAAATAAAATCTTGTAAATTCTTGAAAATATCTAAAAATAGCAATCAGATTCACATATAAATATATAATAACTAAATATATAAGAAATTTAGTAAATAAAATCTAAATAACATTAAGTAATATTTAAAAATCTTGGTATATCTTTTGAAAAATTTCTTTGAATACTACATTTGATGTAAATTATGTTGGCTTTTCATCTTTGTCTAAAATTAATATTTTTTATCTATCTTTCTTTCTCACTCTTAAAACAACAACATATAATTGAACATGAGAAAACACTAGTCTTAGTAAGTAAAGACTAACATTAAAAATTTTTTGTCCTTGACTCTTATTAATAGTCATTGCAAAATAAAAAGTTAAGGAAAATTGTCTTATTTGAAACTTAAAAAAGATAATTGCAAATATAAAGGAACTAAATTCATTTTTGGGATGAATGCTTTATCACCAATATTTTTTCCTGTAAACACTGACTACAATTATGTTTCTTTTCAATTAATTAACAATCAGTCTAGTTTCATTGCATAATTCATTTGCTTTATCTATATTCCTCAAAAGCATAACTGAAACACATGTCTTTAAAATTAATATGTAGTTTGAAATTTCTGAATACTTAACTTCATTCAAAAGTTTAGTAATAACCCAATCACCTTTTGATTCAACATTTTCATCAGATGAACAAGTTAAATAAGAACTTAGATATTCCCTTTCTTCTTTGGGCATCAAAGAGAGAGAAAATTATTTGTTTTCTCAACACTTTCCAAAGTATACGCTAATATTGCTCTATGTTCAAAGAATTTAAAATCAACACAAATATCTACTAAATTTGGATATGCAAAGTCTACTAAATACACAAGACTATTATCTATTTTAAGAATGAGAAACTCTTATGAATTTTCAAGTGTACAAACTTCATTATCGTTAACTCTAATTTCTCCATCTCCAATTTAAAGAATTTAATTTGTAAAAAACTTGGTCTCAATTATAGTATAAGTTTTTTCTATTGCTGTTGATAAATCTCAAATTTTTTTGGTCAATTTGAGCACTTTACAATTAGCCTATAGATAAGAGAATTTCAAGAACTTTTTCATAACTAACTTTTGGAATAACTAGAAGTATTTGTCTGAAATCTCCTCCTAATACAACTTTTCCACCAAAAGTTCATTCACATTGCTTGAATTTTTCACTGTCATTAAATATTTTAATGTATAATCTACAGCTTCAAAATAAAATTTATTAAGCATAGAAGCTTCATCCCATATGATCAAACTTGTGTTGATTAATAGACCAACTTTCAAACTTTCTTACTTGATGTTAAATGTAGAGGTATTGTTAATTAGTAATGGAATTAAAAATTTAGAATGAGTTGTCCTTCCTCTAAGAATAAGTAAAGAAGTAATATCATTTAGAGCCACATTGAGAATAATCAATTGTTTAGATTGAAGAACTATTGATAAAGTATTCCAAATGTATGTTTTTCTTGTTCCTCTATATCCATATAAGAAGATAAAATCACCAAATTGATTTAATACGAGCTCATTATTTGATGGTAAATAATTTTTCTCCAATCTTAAAGAATCTAGAAGTCCGTGATATCGTTCAACCAGTTCAATTGTGTTGTAATTGAGCTCATTTACTATGAACTTATTTTCAACCAAACTGAAAATTGAATCTTTTACAATGGACATACAAGTGTACTTTTTCAAAGATCTTCCATTGTTTTGAAGTAATTTTTCAACCTTGACCAAACAAAGACTTTTCAAGTCTTGGTCATTTAAAGTAAAATATGTAAAAACAGGACAAATTCTCACATTACTTAAAAATCTAACTGAATGTTTTTAGTCTTTATGTATAAATAACTTTAATAAAAAAAATGTATACAAACAATGACCATGTATAACATCCTTGTTTTTATATTTATTGTTATGGCATTGTATATTGGTTGTGTGTAAATTGTTTGAATTTAGAGGAGTTTAATTGGTTTAAAATGCAGGATATCTCGCTGTAAGGAGATAGATCATCCAAAATTAGACTTTCTAGAGCCCTCTCATTGTAGCGAGGTAGTCTCGCTATAGCGAGAAGTGGATAAGGATGATCCAACAACACTTTTTCTGTAACCAGGATTCTCACCATAGTGAGAATTTTTTGTTGTAGCTAGAATGACAAACAGAAAAATAAAAATGTTATCTAGTTTTTCACTGCAACGAGAAAAAGGCTCGTTGTAGCAATAATGTCAGGAGTTAAGGAGTATTTAATAGTTTACAACCTAGAAAACTTGGATTACAATTCAAGTTTTGACCTTCCCTCCATTCTCTCCATTCTCTCACTCTCTTCTCTTAGAAAACCTCCCCTAAACTTCAATATTCCTTCAAATCTGGGCTTTGAAATTCAACTGATCGAGTCCAAGTAAGTTCTTGGAGCTTAGTTCTCCAATTTTTATTTGTTTTCTCTGTTTCTTTCTTCTCAAGATGCTCTATTTTGTGATACTTAGGAAAAGCTTAGTTCTTTCACCAAAATCTTTCACAAATTCTTTTCAAAACTTCATTTTGAGGTAAGGAGAGCTCTATTTCGTCATTTTAAGCATAGTGAATTATTTGTACTCATGAGAGTACTTTTGTATGTTTTCTTGTATGTAAATATATGATTGAATGACATGTAGGTATTGTGAAAAGTTATAATGATGTATATTTGGTTGATTTAAGATGATTGTACTGTATATCTGTTGTATATGATAAGGACTTAATCTGAAAATGTTTTGAGCAAGTATAATTCTTTAGTTAAATGATATTAGATTGTGGTGAAAGAATGAAGTATATTTGACTAATCTTAAGTGTTACTACTATATTCTTATAGTATATATATTTTGGACTTAGTCTAGAAGTACTTTACTAAGCACAATATTTTATCTGAGTAATGAGTTTGACATGAAAAAGAGTATGAGATGCGTTCAAAGTGATGAAAGGAACTAGTG